TTCCATTCTGTGTGGTGTTAGTTATATATCCGATATACCTTCCCGCCTTTCATTCTGTGTGGTGTTAGTTATATATCCCATATACCTTCCTGCCTTTCATTCTGTGTGGTGTTAGTTATATATCCGATCAACCTTTTCTCGCTTTCATTCTGTGTGGTGCTAGTTATATATCCGATATACCTTCCCGCCTTTCATTCTGTACGGTGTTAGTTATATATCCGATCAACCCTTCCCATCTTTCAATCTGTGTGGTGCTAGTTATATAGCTATATACCCTTCCCGCCTTTCATTCTGTGTGGTGTTAGATATATCCGATATACCCTTCCCGCCTTTCATTCTGTGTGGTGTTAGTTATATATCCGATATACCTTCCCGCCTTTCATTCTGTACGGTGTTAGTTATATATCCGATATACCCTTCCCGTCTTTCATTCAGTGTGGTGTTAGTTATTTATCCAATCAACCTTTTCTTGCTTTCATTCTGTGTGGTGTTATTTATATATCCAATCAACCTTTTCTTGCTTTCATTCTGTGTGGTGTTAGTTATATATCCCATATACCTTCACGCCTTTCATTCTGTGTGGTGTTAGTTATATATCCCATATACCTTCCCGCCTTTCATTCTGTGTGGTGTTAGTTATATATCCGATCAACCTTTTCTTGCTTTCATTCTGTGTGGTGTTAGTTATATATCCGATCAACCCTTTTTCATTCTTGTGGTTTCATTCTGTGTGGTGTTAGTTATATATCCCATATACCTTCCCGCCTTTCATTCTGTGTGGTGTTATTTATATATCCCATATACCTTCCCGCCTTTCATTCTGTGTGGTGTTATTTATATATCCCATATACCTTCCTGCCTTTCATTCTGTGTGGTGTTAGTTATATATCCGATCACCCAGAGGTCCTAGCGCCCGAAGATGAAAAATGATGATATGCATTGAAATGTGGTCAGAAGTAACTGTTTCTGTTTTAGACAGGATTCCCACAGAGAGGGTGCTGTTGCTTTGAAATCCAGGGCAAATATATGTAATTAATTGAAATTTGTTCTGTACAGTTCCTCTGAACAGTATCTTTCGAACAACCTACCTTTTAGGGGCAATGAATGAAGGCCGTCACAGTATTTTATTCGTGGCCGACCAGGTATATGCCGTAGAAATGACGAAAGTGATCTATATTTTCGTATCATTTGGGGGCTCTGCCACTATGTATTTTTTTAAGAATCAGATGATATATTCCTGCAGAAAAACTAAAAGATTAATTTTCCCGCTCTATTCCCCCATGAGTCCTTATGGACTTACGACTTAGCGCATATCACGAAAATGAAAGGATGCATTAGAGATTCTAAAGTCAGAAACCATTTATCCAAGACTGGGGTTCTTTGGACCAATTCTGCCCCAGGCCCACACAGAGGAAGAACGATCAGCGTTACTCAGCACACACCACGAGGAGGTTACTCTTTACGAGTGCCAGACAGAATTCGATCGTGAAATAGTTCTGCATCTTTAGGAGTGAGATTTTGACATAAGCAGGCCACTGTCTTACTTTCCAGGTAAACAATACGATTGACACACCCTACAAAACTCACCTGTTAAATTATCGTGATATGAGAAACTCCAATTCGCTTTCATTCCCGCATAAATAACAGGAGGTATTGTCTATCACATGGACATCGTTGTCTCAAATATCATGAATTTCATGGTTATCCGCCAGTAGTGGTTTTAAGAATCCACAGGATCAAAACTACATTCAAACTGGACATGGACGACAAATGAAACCTGTTAGAAGTCGACAATTTTTATAAGACCATTTACGGTATATCACAGAACGGTTAAGGCGAGTAAATTGAACAGACATACATTGCTCATCATGAATCAAGGTCTAAGATAAAGCAGAACGTGGTATGCATACAATACGAACGATTAGTTTTTCCTGGGTTTCGACACAACTGACACGGCTATGATTTTAATGTAAGGTAATATATGCGCTTGCTTACAAACAAGCGAATGGTCTGGTCACGTGATAAACCTGCACACGTGGTGTGAATAACACTGGAGCAGAAACATCTATTATAAACGAACAGAGCAGCGCAAGCTTTAGAATTATCAGCCATTGTTTTCAGAACAGTGAGGTACAGTCCATGTTCAATACGCCTCGAAGTATTTGGTGAGCTGACTTTGTTACATCTATTTCCTTTCATTAGATTCCGTCACAAGGGATAAATATTTCAGTGTTAAAACGGTAAAAGATCTTTTAAACAAAGTAAATTACCATTTAATTATTCAGTTTTTAAAAGAAATTCAACTGATTGATAAATTTTGAGTGATACAGTTTGGAGATAGATATTGTTGAATGATTGGAAGTTTAATTTTGTAACTTAGATTGTTAGTGCCTGTACCCTCAAGGGGGTAAAGTATTGTAAAAGTATTGTATTGAACATCTTTGAGAAAAGCCATTCGTCTTACACTGGCATCTTTCCATCTTTCACTGTTTCTACTGAAGCAGGCTCTTATCAAATGCTTATTTTCTAATGATGTCAAATATTTCGCTTGTTCTATAGCTGACTTAATCGAATTATAATGACATAAAAAGGATGAAGATGAAATACTACTGTGCCAGTTTTGATAATACATATCTTGTAATCTTTGTTTTAATGAAAATAGAAATAACTCTTCCTCACCAAAGTCTTGCGCAATCCAACCAAAAGAATACCCACAAGTAAAAAGCAAAGATCTAACATTTGAAACCAAATTACTACTGGTCTTATCGTTATCATAAAGAGTTATAAATAAATTATAGCATTGATAAGGATATCGCTGTAGTTCCATTTTTACTAATTTACTCCAATATTTAACCACTATAACTTGGCTGAGAATGAAAAGAGAATAACGCCCTGTATCGCATAAAATGGCCTTATTTGATGCAAACTTCCCACATTTAAAATAAGATGATTGGACTTTCTCTATTGCCTCATTACATTTAGTGTTCCATTTCTCTGCACCATATAACAAAATTGGTTCAATTTTACCATAAAAAATAGAAAATGCTGTAGAAAATGGAACATTTACAAGTTTTTTATAAAAAAATGTATATACTGGAATAACAGCTTTAGGAGCTTGACATGCTAATTGTTTACAAGATACTGACTATGATAATCTAGAAGATATAACTAATATAAGGGTAACGGTATATTTCAGGGTATTATCATTTGCAAAAGCCCGAGGTCTTTCATTAACTGCCCGACGAGAGAGGGCAGTTGAAAAGACAGAGGGCTTCTGCAAATGATAATGCCCTGAAAAATATCGTTACTGTTATCATTGCTAAAATGGATAGAATATTTTATAAAACAAAAACAAACAACGGTATCGGTTTTGAAGCATTTACTGCTAACAACAAACGACGGAGGTCACTGACCCACTTTTTACAAATATGGAAACGTCATAGAACAAAACAGATGTCGTCACTATTGAGAGTGACCACATTCGACCTTGACCTTTGCCCATACTACATGCCGCCATTGTTTTCAATGCTCAACAACGTTAGAGTTCCAGTCGATGTTTTCATTGCTGCATGTTGTAACTCATGTTACAATTGTTAAGGTTGGCACCGGCAAGAAAGTGCATAATGTACGAATTCGAGTCAGAAATATCGTCAATATTGAACCCAAGTTCAAACGAGCCGTAGGTGATTGAACATCAAGAGCTGAGTTCCTTATGACGTCACCTAACAACGGGCCTGATAATGGCCCGTCGTCAAGCAGTTTGGGGGCATAATCAAGTTACAGTGGTCCGCTCATTTCTGATAACATGCGGGCGTTTTAATGATAATTCTATCTATTTTAGCTATATTCCTAAATGTTTATAATATGCCTTAATTTCGAAAGGAACATTGTCATTTATACCCTAATCTACAACTTTCATGCTCTGAAAATTACCCAATAAATGCCTACAAAAGAAACGATGGACTGATCCATCTGTTCATGAGATTCTCCTGCACTCGCCCATCCCATTGCATATCAATGGGGAGAAGCATACTTGGCACATGCCTAGTGGGTCCTTACCCCTCAAGAGATAAATGGACCAGCCCACAGAAGCCTACTGTAAGCTTGATGTATTTTTTAGCCTCGCCTAGGCCTTGCCTAACCCTGTCCCAGCCCTGAATAACAAGCCTAATTTCTACAAAGAAAATAACCCCACCAAGTCAAAACGCCGATGTGATTCCAGCTGTTACAGTCATGCTTTAGCAGATGATATTCATATGCCCGCCCTGTGCAGCCTAACTAGCCTAACTATCTTACATATTCAATGCATAATATTTAACACATGCTTTACAGAAATAAGATTTACACTTGACGTACCTGTTATTTTCTTAGTTGTCCCCTGTATTTACGTAACACCTAGTGACTGGCATGCTGTCATTGGTTGGAAAGTATAGAAAGAACAAAGCTCGATTGTACTTCAAGTGGCTAAGGACAGTTTCTCTGATATCTTCAGGTAGGTGATTCAGTGGGACAGAACTGGCTATTTGATTGTTATTGAATATGCAGATTATTGATACAACTGAGCTAAGTTAAAGGTCTTGTTCAAATGCGTTCTTTTGCCAATTCAAGCGTAAAACGAGATTTATATGCATATTGGAACAGATCATCAAGGGGTGGGTTGCCCACTTCTTTCCTACTTGGCTTATCTCAATTTTTTTAAAGAGGAGGTCCAGCATTTCACATACAGCTTTCTCAGTATACTTAAGGTGGTATTTGCTTTAAACGGTGGCAGTGCAATATACTTCTGAAGATAGACATGTAACCCACAGGGGCTTGAAACGCATAAAAACGTCATCAAGGTATATATTGTCACTGAAGGGGTCTTAGCACTATATCGAGAGCAAAGTCCCCATCGGTAACAATATGTACCTTGATGCTACTTTTGCAAAATTGTTTTATACATTCAGTATTTGCTGTGAATATGGAAATCATTTCAGTAATATTTAGCACTTTACTACGATATGGCCGGACGTCACACACAGGCACGGTTTGAGTTCAGCCTCAGGAAAAACATGACACCTCATGATATCGCAGACATGTTCAACGACTTTGCTGAAGACTTTGAAGAGGTAACTGAAATCCGTAACTAGTGTTCACAAATGTCACAATAGTATCAGTCATAAGATCGTTTAGATTACGTTTCGCCTTTGTTATGGCCGCTCTTGCTCAATGTTTTTTTTTATTGTGAATTATAACACTGAATGCACAACTTTCTACCATCGCCAGCGGCTGAAGGGAAGTTGCAATCCAGCTAGGGTCCATGCAGGTTGCAAAAGTAATGTAAGTCCCCATGGTTCCTAGTATGGTGATCTACCTTCAGTTGTTGGCGATCTATAGCCCGTGCTGGTTTTCTGTTCATATATACTGGACAAATAAGTTAGGGATATTGGTATTTTTATGATTGATATTTTATCACTGTGTCAATGAATAAATAGATCATTATTCGTAATATCAAAATGTACATATATCCCTAACTACTTTTGTCCAGTATATGTGATACTCTAGAAATTTCACTGGCCATCGTCGACAGGTTTTACTCTCCAAAATGGTTTCATTTTTATTGTATAAATTGTTTTCGTCACGATATGGCTGAGATATTGCCGATGTGACGTTAAATTTTAACTCACTCACTCACTGAATGCACAAGGATTTTACTCAGGGCATTTGAAGGACAATTCAAAATTTTACCAAAATGATGTCCTATCCAACTTCCTAGTTAAACATTGCCGTAATTGGAGTATCACTGACCATGTGCTGTGCTGACAATCAACACTCTCCTGCCTTGTGGGTAGTATTTTAGTCACTTTGAATCTGCATTTCAAGAAATGCTTCTTTCGAGACGACATGATAAATATATTGACTTTGTTCTTTACTTGCCTAAATCGCATTCTGCTTGCAGGTATATTCAAGCATTGGTTGGAGACCTTATGAAGTTGTCGGAGACTTCATGGCTAAAATTATCCCAGAGGAAAATAGATCAAAACTAAAAGTCTTGGATGTTGGAGCTGGCACAGGACTTCTTGGAAATAAGGTAAATAATAGCTCAAAACCCTTTTCACATCCATAGAAACTCTCTTCTAAAAGCAGAGTCGATTGTGCAACTCCGACTATATCATGAGCATGTGTTTATGCATTACTATCAAATAATGGGGATTCCAGATGTTCGCGAAAGGTGAGCGCATCCTGCCCCAGCGGTGACGTTCATCAAAAACAAATACAAAATCTGGTCAATTGTTCAACTGAATAAACACGGGGTAAAACAACATGGAACTGCATTTTGTCACATGCTCGCAAAAGTCGAGAAATGTAAACACCAAAGGCTGGAGTTTGTGTGGATGCAAAACATTGCTCGACATTTAAGGAAAGTCTCATTCGTGTCCTCTATTTCCAATTCAGGTGGGTGAATCGGTGGTGTAAGTTGCCGTATCAACTTTAACAAGAATATCAAGAAGAGTGAACTTCCGAATAAACTGTTTTAATGCTCGGTAGTCTCCTGGTAAACAATCACCAACCACGTGCTCTCTCATAGCGAGGCGGGCTTTATCTGCACGTGTGCACGTGAGCCATGGAAGAGAGAAAACTCTATTATCACTCTTTAGAAACCAGCCACTAGTCAAATCTACAGGTGGAAGGAAACTGGCTATCAGATTGTAATCGCACGATAACAGATAATCAATGTACCTGAAGGATAGGTTAAACCTCTTGGCCAAAGTGCTTTGTTTTGTTTTGCCAACCCGAGCAAATTCTGATTCAAAGAGAACCTCAAGGAAAGGAGCTCAACTGGGTTTAGCAGTGTCTTTTTCTGGTCAATAAAGTGGCAGTTGTCCGCTCGATATATATACCAAATAATCTGGTAATAAGAAATAACACGGGTAAATATTCTGTTACTATTACACTTAGAACATTTCACAGTAAACATGTCCTCCATATACAATCCTAGTATAAAGACAAGAACACCCAAACAGACAGACAGACCAACAACACAAACAGCAATACACTGATGATTCATTTCCTTGGGCAATCCCGCGATCGATTGTTTGCCGAAATGTAGGAACTTTTTTTTATATTTTTTTATTTTTGATTCTCCATACATCCAGGTCATACAGTTCATTACATAACGGTTTGGTATAAACGTGATTCGCAAATATATACAAAGTCGATTTACAGGCAAATGTGCAGTCAGGTGGAAATGAATAGGTACTTGAAAATATAATAGCAGTACATTATGTATAGCGCTGGTTTAACAGAACAGATTGAGACATAGTGACCAAAATTTTGTGAAGCTGTCATATTTGCAATTTGAATAGGCATTAAAACGTTCAGCATAATATGTTGTCTTTACGTCTTGTATAATGTAGTTTAAATTCGGTGTTTTATCTCTTTGTTTCATTTTGTATATATTATATTTCACTACTGTTATTATCAAAATCAGAACATGGTTTCTCTTTTCACAATATCCTAGAATAATATTTTTCTTTGAAAAGATAATATTTGACCCTGTTTTTTCGAATATCCATTCTTCTATTTTCTTCCAAATAGTTTTTATGACTTTACAGTCACAAAATAGATGTAGAATTGATTCTTTCTCGGATTTGCAAAATGTGCATGTGTTGGAATCTTTATACATGTATTTCATTTTTGGTAGCAAATCATTTGTTGGCAGAAACCTGTGCAGTATGCTGTATTGACACCACGAGTGTTTTACACTATTATACGATTTAATGGTTGTTTATTCTATCGTTTCACATATGTTATCGTCAATAGACTCATTAAGTTCTTTTTGCCACTTGTTTCGATATGTTAAAGGTTTTCTAGATTTACCATTTATGAGTATGCCATAGATATCTCTACATCCTTTCGGGTTTCCTACTATATTTCGTCAAAGATAGGGCAAGATCGGAGCTTGGATTTTCTCTTCAATATGGATGTTTATGGATTTGCAGTAGTATTTAATTGATTCCACTATTCCTTGACGCTCTAGGAAGTTAGTTTTGCACCCAAACGATTTTTTTAATTGTTCCACCGTTAAAAAGTTACCTTGGGCGTCAAACATATCGTTTATATAAGTAATCCCTTTGCTTGAATAATGTTTATAATTGATTGGTTTTCAATCTATTTTAATATTGTCATTTAACCATAAGGGTTGTGATAAAATATCACATGCATTTTTTGCTTTTTCTGCTTTTCTGGTTACGAATTTATTGATTTCAAAGTTTCTTTCCAAAAGTGATTTGTTTCTTGTGTTATTACTGATTCAAGTATGTGTGTTTCGCATGTTTGTATAAAGCTTTCGATGTCCCAATGTGTCTTCGTTTGTAGCAATTTCCTTACTTTTGAATCTGAGTTGGTGAGTCTTTTAATCCATGATATTTTTTGTGATTGAATAAGATTTTTTATCTCTGGGGCTCGTATTCCTCTGTATTCATAATTCTGTGTGATAGTTTCTCGACTGACTTTGTCTGGTTTGTTTTTCCATATAAATTTATAGCAGAGCTGCTCAATTTCCGTAATCATTTGATCATTTGGGTTGGGTAGAGTTACAAATAAATGATTACGTTGCGGTAAAAGTAAACTTTTCAATATGGTATTTCTACCTAAGGGAGTTAGATATATTGCTAGCCATTGATTCATTGATATTTTGAGAGTCTTAAGTTTATCTTTATAGTTGCGTTCAACCATTTCTGCGATGTTGTGAGTAAATACAATTCCTAATAGTGTAAACGAGTCACTCTTCCAGTCTAAATTCCAGTTTCTGCAAAATCTTCTTTTAGAGTTTTTTTCTGAGCCTATCCATAATACCTGTGTTTTGTTTACATTTATTTTTAAGCCTGAAAATGAGGCATATTTACTAAGAATTTCTAATGTCGCCTGTAAACATTTTTCAGTGCCATCTAGTATCAATGAAGTATCATCAGCGTATTGGGAAATTAGGTATTCTGTATCTCCAATTTGTATTCCTTTTATTATATTATTATTTCTAATCATTGTTGCCAAAATTTCTGCGCACAGTATAAAAATATAAGGGGAGATGGGATCTCCTTGTCTGCATCCTCTTGAGATATTGAAATAATTTGAAAGGAAACCCTTTACAACAACACATGAGTGAATGTTATTAAAGAAGGTATTTATCCATCTTGTAATCGATGGTCCAAAGTTAAAGAATAGAAGAACTTTTTAAATGAAATGCCAGTCAACAGAATCGAATGCCTTTTCAAAGTCAATAAGAAGTACAATTCCTGGTACATGTATATTCATATATTCAGTATATCAATGATGTCATATATTAGGCGAGTACACTCACCAATATATCTTTTTGACATAAACCCTTTTTGATCCTCATTTATTATAGAGGGTAGGACTGTTTTTATTCTGTTTGCAATGGTTGATGTTCCGATTTTATACGCTACATTCAGCAATGAAATGGGTCTCCAATTCTGAAGCAAATGTTTGGATTTACCTTTTTTGAAAACAGGTTATAATGCCTTGCTTTTGAGTCAAAGACAATTCTCCTTTCTAGTAAGCTAAATTTAACGATCTTATAAGATACTCGTGAATGTTGGACCAAACAAATTCGAAGAATTCAACAGTGAAACCCGATGAGCCAGGACTTCTTTCATTTTTCATTTTTTTAAGACTGTTTAATACTTGTTCATATCTTAATTGTCCTTCTAGATTTTCTTGTTGATCTTTTGATAGCTTTGGGACGTTTTAAGCAATTCTGTTGGGTTCACTTTTTCGCATGGTTTTTTCGTGTATAGGTTATGGTAAAACGCTTCTTTTAATTCATCCTGTAGCTTTGTTTTGGAATCTGTATCATGTGATGAATCTATTTTTATTTCAAGCTCATCTATGTTTTTTCAAGCGTTTGGCACATATTCAAATTTTCTTTCTTTTCATAGGATGAAAAATTTATTGTGTGTCCTCTGATCATTAACAAAAGCATTTCAAAGAATAGCTGATCGTTTACTTTGAAGACATTTTTCCCTGTTTCGTCTACGTAAGATTTGTATTGTTCTTTGATTTCATTTATCAGTATTTTGTTTTTTTTCCACATATGTTTTATCATAGAGTAAAGAATTGCTGAATTTCTAGTAGCTTTTGCCTCTTTCTATCTCACTGATCTTTAGATTAATCCAAATTATTGAATGGTCAGACCTATATGCTGCTTCAATGCCGGTATCGTGAATTAAACTTTCGAGGTTTTTGGAAACGATAAAGTAGTCTAGTCTTGCCTGTTTGACGGGGGGTTTCTGTCTCCATGTGTATCTCTTGCTATCTAGGTTTTGTTCTCTCCATGGGTCTATTAGATCATTTTCTTCCATAAATTCTAACCAGGTTTCTCTAGCTTTTGCATTATTAACGTTCTTAAAAAAAAGAAATGTAGGAACTTGACATCGTCTTTGAGATGAAGGATCAAGGAGTACTTTATGTCAAACTTTTCACAACCCATAAAAACGATGCAACTATAAAAACAATACCGATTGTTTTCCTTATACTACAATAACCAGAACACCATCTGAGACAATCCCTAAAGTATCGAAATCATCCACAAGCTGTCAAACAAACTTCACTTGGGCTTATAATACAGCCCTGACGGATTCCCACATTGCAGGAATAATAACTTGACAAACCCTTGGTGGTTTTCACATAAGCAGAAAGTGTATTATACATAGGTGTGATGATGTTTAAGAACCCAGATAGTCCTGCTTTCCCCACGGAGTTTAAAAGTGCATCATGTTTAATAGTACCAAATGCCTTGGAAAAATCAATAAAAGACAAAAGAATCTACTTTTTTCTACAGGAGTATTTCTGGATATAGCTTGCAGTGTAAACATGTGACACGAACATCCTTATGCGTTGGTCCAATAGATATGAGCAGCAATGTGTTTACTGATACGACAGCTTCTAAGTGCCACTAAGAGATTTAGAATTTTCCTTTTCCAAGTCTTGGAAATATTTTACCATGGATATTTACTGAATAGTTTGCTCCCCAAACTGAAGACATCACATATTTTTCTTAAAAGTTTTGCATGTCGTAGCATTCATGTTGACAGGGTTGACAACTTATTATAACTTATAATTTTAAGTCATGGTTGGGGAATATCTTGATTTTCTTCAGACCAGAAATGCTTGTATTTGATCAACTGTACTTGACACTTTCCAGCTAAAGAATCATGGGTTCACACACGTTGATGCTTTGGATCCAGCAGAGAAGATGCTGAATGTGGCCAAAAGGCGCAAGATCTACCAAAGATACCTCTGTGCCTTTATGAACAAAGACAGAAACGATGCCATAGAAACGGGTGAGAAACACTATTAACGTTTACGCTTAGTTCGATCGTGTTCAATGGGTCCACATATCTGACATAATAACTACCCAAATAGAAATATGTTTGAGATTTCTTTCTTAAAATATATGTAAGTGCTCAATAAGTCAAGTGATTAAGAATGTGGCGTAATTGCCCAATTCACACAAAAATATAACAGATAAATATAGTCATTTTATTTAGAAACGCGTTTTATAAAAAACATATCTTCTATTCATTAGCATATGTTTAAGCCTTATTAAAAATATAAAACATATACTCAATTTGTGAATTACCTTCTATGTATCAAATATTCATTAGTATTAATTTTGTTTATGCTTATTAAAATATACATAAGTATATGCTCTATTTGTGAATTACTTTCTATGTAGGCAAATATTCATTAGTATGTGTGTGTGCTTATTGAAAACATATAAGCATACGCTGCATTTGTGAATTACGTTCTCTGTGGGCATGGGTACACACACACGCCAGAGTCACACCTAAAACCTAAAATATACACATGTGAAGAAGACTCGACATCGTTTAATGATTTCCATCAGAGAGTATATGTGTAAGAAATAAGTAAACAAACGTATAAAATCTAGCCTAAATAAAGTTTCGAAATCGAAAATTAATGTTATGTGTTGTAAATTAGAAATGTGTGTCTTTCCTTAGTGGCATCTGTTTGATAGTATTCACTTGATATATCTACATCGCTTTCTCGGGCGGTGGGGTAGCCTAGTGGTTAAAGCGTTCGCTCGTCACGCCGAAGACCAGGGTTCAATTCCCTACATGGGTACAATGTGTGAAGCCCATTTCTGGTGTCCCCCGCCGTGATACTGCTGGAGTTTTGCTAAAAGCGGCGTAAAAATAAAACTCACTCAATCACTTCGCTTTCTGTGCTGCTGTCAAGACTAATATTGATATGTGCGAATATGTGGAAGATTTTGCGAAAATTGAACATTTTGGTTGGTGTTATTGTCTGGTGATGCCATGCCGTACGCTAGTAAACTAGCTAAACTCTCAACTGAACCAGCGAGTCAACACGCCATAATAATGTCAGGTCACGTGATGTCAACTCTGCTCATTTCCGGAACACTAGTAGATTTTTTTAACATATTTGGCAACAAATGTTGACTTTCGAAAAAACTTTCTTCTTCAATATATTTGTTTTACATGCTTTATGAATGATTGGATTTCTGATTTTACTTTACATATCTATTAAGGAGAAAAATGCACGAGGTCATGGACTATATAATTCTGGTTCGGTGACCATGTTGTTGCAATCACAGCCCGAATCACACAACTGCCCGTTAAGTAAAATATGTACATCTGTCAGTGCTACAGCCGGTCATTACCTTGGACATTCCTCAGACATCAAGATACAACTCCACTCCACTCTACTGCGCTCATCTCCACTCCGCTCCTCTCCTCTCCTCTCAGCCCCTCTCCTCTCCTCTGCTACACCACTCCACTCAACTCCGCCCCTGTCCGATCCTCTCCTCCCGTCTCCACTGCACCCAACTCCAATGCACTCCACTCCTCTCATCTCATCTCTTCTCCGCTCCTCTCCACACTCCTCTCATCTTATCTCTGCTCCGCTCATCTCATCTCCTCTCCTCTCATCTCCTCTCCGCTCCGCTCCTCTCCACTCCTTTCCGCTCCACTCCACTCCGCTCCTCTCATGATCGTTGGTTCGGTGACCATGTTGTTGCAAATCACTGCCCGGTCATCACCTTGGACAGTCCTCAGACATCAACCTGCAACATCGTGATATAACTCAACAGTGTTCCCCGCTCCACTCCACTCCACTCCACTCCTATTATATCTACTCTAAATTATGATGACAGATGTTGTTTTGCGGATTGCACTTTCTCAGTAAAGTACAGATTTTTGTACTTTTGTTGTCTTGAGTCCCATCAGGGATTCGATCCACCCTCTCACAGCCATGCACCTAATCGCCAGCACACGTCTAACCTCCTTAGCCACTCACCCCAACAAAAGAACTGGAATCTGTACTTTACCGTGAAAGCGTAATCCAAAATATAGCACGTGTTACATTTGGCAGCTTTCTAAATGGCATTGTGTATTCATAAGATATGACAATATGATTAATTTAATACGCACTTGACTACCTGCAATGTGCATTGTGTATTCATTCGGGTTCTATCGTTATGTAGCGTTTGAATATTGATGCAATATGGGATATATTTGTCTTAAATATTGTGCTTATATTTCTTTAGATTACTATGACCACATTGTGGCATCGGGTGCTTTTAATGAAGGTCTGATTCCCTGTGACGCCTTCCAGGAAATGGTTCGGATCGTTAAACCAGGTGATGAGTTTTATTGTGTGTGTTTGATTTTCTGCTGAATGGTTTTGGTAAGCAACTGTAATCGTCGGTAGACCACATAACTTTACAACCGACGATATATTTCTTAATATTTTGAATGTTGTCTGAATATGCGTTTGTAAATCTGTAAAACCCGAGGAAAAACATAAAAAGTTTTCCCAGGATATTTTCTTGAACAAATCAAATCCCAATCCCGATCTTGAGTAAATGTCCTGAAATATCAACTATTGTGTATTTTCGATTCTTCACCACCCCATGCTTGTCGTGAGCGGCGACTATCAGGATTTGGTGGTCAGATTCGCTTGACTTGGTTGATGTGTGGCATCATGTCCCAGTGTATAGATCAATGTTTATGATGTCTATCAGTGGATTGCTGTTCCAGATTCGATTATTTCCATATCGCCGTCATGAAGCTGGAATAATGCTGACCGAGGCCTTACACAACGAACATACATTCACCAACTAAATAATTTAAGTAGTTATATTCACCAGGTGGTCGAATCACTTTCACGGTTCCAACCAAGTTAATCAACAACTCGGACAACTTACGGGACCGGTTACTTCCCCTTATAGACCAGTTGGCGGAAGAGGGCGTGTGGAAGGTCACTTCCGTTGCACTCGGAGATGGAGAACTTTCTTTCACAGACGGTCCGGGGACTTTGTTTAGTTTGAAGGTTCTTGTGTCAGAAAAGAAGTTTTAAGAATCTATAAAGGTCAGTTCCATCGGACTAAAAGTCTTAAGGATTTTTTTATTGGTCTAATGTTTATTTTGGTCGCACTGACCAGAAACGTTTTGTTGTTGTAGTTTGTTGGGGTTTTCTTGGGGGTGTGATTGTTTCAGGGTGATGCAACATTATTTCCCTTTTAAATCTAAATTTAAATTAAACTTAAAAGTTTAAAAACTAGAAACGTGTTTTTCATACAACAAGATACCAATGAATTTTAAAAAACTTCGAAAAAAGCACACATATTAATGAAAGAAAGAACTACATCCAGATCGTAAAACCAGAGACTGCTGTAAGGAGGTGGGTTTCCTTTGCATGAACATATTCACTGAAAACATAAAGTGGTGGATTTGAAATGAGGTTAGGCATCACGTTCAAGATTATTTAGCGACATCACAAGAAATGATCACATCATGTCTATAATTTGCGGCAATGTTTCCACATGACGTCCCTTAGTTGCTGTCAGTCGAAAATCCCTCAAAATATTTTCACCTTTTTCCATATCTTCATGGGCAATGTTTTCAACACCTTGACAGGCGAATGTTGAATGTATTTCATAACGTACAGTTCCTAGGTTTTCAAAACTTTAAAACACTCTTTCATTTTTACTTTTTTTTCATGTCTTTTAACTGCTTGATACCTACATATACATACATTTTACACATGCATATATATCAATACAATTGGGGATTAAAAACATATATTTCTCTGGTTGGAATCCAGCTAGGGTCCATGCTGGTAGCAAAAGTGCTGTAAGTCCCCCATGGAACCTTCAGTGACTGGTGATCTATACCCCACTTTCATATTGTGCTCTGTAGTGATATCTTTTTATGATTACATGCTAGTTTTTAATGTTCATCTCTGATAGTATAGCTATTTTACTGTCCTTCGTTCACATGTATTTATACAGACTATATAAATACCTATGTATGTTACATGGGTTTAATATCGAGGTATTATGACGATACCACTGTAACTTTTGATTTGGATGCAGCAATCTTTTATCTGCAAAATCCTGCATACATGAGTAGCCTCGTGATTCAGGCGTTCGCTCATAACGACTCTGGTTCTTTTTTTCACATGGTTATATTGCTAAAAGCTGCGTAAAACCCAACTCACTCACTCACTCACTCACCAATGATAATCCAGGCACCACACTTTGATTTCGATTTTCTGATTCATCAGACGAGGTTAACTTCAGAGTAATTGGGGGCGGTTGGGTAGCCTAGTGGTGAAAGCGTTCGCTCGTCACGCCGAAGGCCCGAGTTCGATTCCCCACATGGGTACAATTTGTGAAGCCCATTCCTGGTGTCCCCTGCCGTGATATTGCTGGAATATTGCTAAAAACGGCGTAAAACCATACTCAGTCAGTCAGTCAGTCAGAGTAATTGAATCTGTTGATGAACGTATCCAGAATCTTAACAATACATAATATAAATCTTGCAATGCAACGGGGCCTTTTTGTCGTCAGGAACAATGAATGTTCCATTAATATATGATATTCTTTGTAACAAGAAAAGCCAATATGGCCTGTTGATCGATTCAAGATCTCTACTTAAATACAATATTCCAGAGCATTTGGGATCTCTGGAGCCTCCTATGTGAATTTTGAACAGGTCAAGAACATGAGAATGATAGTTGATATAATGAATGTGTCTTTTTAAATCATTTCTGAGCAGTTTTGCAAGTACTTTTATGGCACTTGATACTGTTATAGGACAATCGGTTCTGTATTGTGCAATTGTGCTCTAAATGTGGTGTGCTCTATTTTAGATTTGTGCTTTTCACTTTAAGTAGATCTCAATAGAAAGACCTGGAAGCTAGTGCATACTAGTAAGACCCTGTTACGACGTAAATTGTAATAACGCGGTAAAATGTAATAAACTGCGGCAAAAAAATTACCGCGGTATTACAATTTACCGCGGTGTTATTACAATTTGCCGCAGTTTATTACATTTTACTGCGTTATTACAATTTACGTCGTAACAGACCCTATGTGTTGTTGGAGAATTTCTGGGAGGTTTTTTCATAGATACATAAGGGTTGGCAACTCTTGCTTCTCATCTCAGATGACAGCTCAAGTTATAAGAAGCCCAGCATTGAGCGTGATGATCATTGTACCCTTGGAACTCTGCTTAAGCCATAGTGACACCGTTGTATTGATGTGTAACATTCGTTTATTTTAGAATATAATTATCAATTACATGGCATGGCTTTGTTGTTTCTTGGTGTCACCATGTGTTTCATTACGGCACCCGTGAAGATCCGGGTTAGAATAATATCCTTAAGTAACCCATGCTTGTTGTAAGAGGTGACTAACCGGAACGGGTGGTCAGGCTCGCTCACTTGGTTGACACGTGTCATCGGTTCCCAATTGCGCAGATCGATGCTCATGCCGTTGATCACTGGATTGTCTGGTCCAGACTCGATTATTTACAGACCGTGCTAGTTTTATTTCTTCATATTGTGACAAGTTTTTATAATTTACCATAAATTACTATTTATAACAATTAAATGTTCTCGTCATGATATGGCTGAAATATTGCCGCTGTGACGATAAATTATAACTCACTCACTCACTCAATTTACAGACCGCCGCCATAGAGCTGGAATATTGCTCAGTGCGGCGTAAAACTAAACTCACTCACTCACTTCATTACGGACTGATTCCCGGTTAACGGTTTTGTTTCAACTTCGGAATCAATTTTCGTGTCTCCTTCTTTGATTTCCAGGAACCGACTTATGATTTTTTCAAAACAAGCAAGACATTTCAAGCAATTCACTCGACATACGACAGTTTAAGGTTATAACTTGCACAATCAAGTGTTTAGGTTTCCAGACAGTGCACAATAAACGCACTTAGGTAATTATCCTTACATATATTACACAAGTGTTCAATTTCTCCAACTCCCAGAACAATTTTGAATTATAGAATTACAGTTCCTTGATAAATTTGTTATCAAATACTCATCAAATGTCCTTTATTCTGCACATGCCAATATTCAGATTCGGTGTCTAATGTGTCTAAACTCACCTCTCTAAATACATGTGTATCCGAAGTAGGCTATATCCGTTGTTTCAAATCTGGTCTGTCATTATTTCGTTTAGCCCTTAGAGGTTTAATGTGTCTCATGTATTCCCTCACACCAAACGGAATCTGTTTTTGAGGACAGTCAACACTGGGTACCCTTTTGCAATTGTTGATGATGTACATTTTTGTTGTTGTAAAGTGTTCATTCACCAAGTGAAACGCGGAGGTTAACCAAGAAATCGGTCTGTACTAATATAATCAATATAATCACATATAATCAATGAACATTCAGCAAGTTTTATTTAGGAGACAAACATCATGTGTTGGCGAATTTCCGGGCGTTATTGAGTATTTGAAGCACTGGAATTCATTTGGAACCGACGGCGTCAGCTGACGACGTAACAATACAATGGTGTGAGCGATGTTTGTATGTATTAATACGCAGAGAATTTCCGGGAATCAAATACTATTTGATCACGTTTTTCAACCAATCAGATTAAAGAACACAGTGACTTTTGGTTTACAATGAAATACAAGGCTTTCATTAAAGACACTACGATGGTTCAAATGCGTGTTAACAAGAAAAGCAATAGGCCCTTATACAAAAGTCAGTGAAATCTTGAATTTCAAGTATTTGTGACATTTGGTCACAATGGAATGTTTCCAAAAGGAGGCAGGTGTTCCGTTCTGGAAATCCAGAAATCAGCCAAGTAAACAGACAGAAAATCGATGTTTTCTTTATCGGTTCCCCCAAGGGGTCAGTAGAGAATACGTAATTCCGGTAGTTGGAAAAGACCTGGAATTGTCCCAATGATTTATCGGAACCACCAGTAGTTGCAAGACTGTTGATGCAGCGTTACACAATAACCACTGACTTTCACTGGAACTGTCAACCTTACGAACAATTCTGCCTCGAACCTGTCACTGTCACTGAGAATGTTGACAAGAGCTCTATGTACCTAGAAGGAAACAAATATGTCAAGTTTTAGTAAGGAATTTGGTCAAAGTCATAAACAAATTGTATTATTCCAGCAATTCCACGGCGGAGGACACATTGTACCCATGTTGGGAATCAAAGTCGGATCTTCGGCGTGACAAGCGAACGCGTTAAAATTTAACAGCTAAGCTACCCCACCGCCCCTCTCTGAAATCAGCTGATTAATACACTATCAGTCAAACTCTATAAAACTATCAAATAATATCACTTAACAGACAGCTTTCTTATATATTTGAAACTATATTTCATCAAAGTATGTCACAAACACACATTAACGTTTCTGGGCTACTTCTTGCCCCTTCACTAGGTGAATGACAGAACGTGATTTACAAGCAAAATCAATAGTACGTACAGGAGGCTAGTGAGATGGAATTAAAGACTGAGCTTTACAGAGATCAAGGAGACTAAGTGATATGTTTTGATTAAGATGTACAGAGTTCAAAGGGAATAAGTGGTATATTTATGGATGTACATACCACTTAATCCCCTTAAACTCAGTACATCTCAATCCCCCAAAAAAGAGAAATAGTGAGTGAGTGAGTTAACATTTACAGTCACATCGGCAATATTTCAGCCATATCGTGACTAAAACAAGTTTTAAATTCACCATAAATATATATAAATTATTAACACCTGTCACCGAAGGACGGTAAAACCAAGTAGAATATCAGAGTATCAAGAAATAAAACTAGCATCTCTCTCTAAACTTGGATTTCAAATTAGCACAGTACAGTATAAAATGGGCTATAGATCGCCAACAACTGAAGGTAGATTACCAAGAAGAGAAATAAAGAAGAGAATAAAGCGATTATTCTTAAACAAGTTATATGAAGTAATCTACATAGACACCAAACGCCAGATGACTTTCCAGCTGCTCCCAATCGGTGGTGGAAAACTGAAACACACTTCACGGCAGTATATGTTTAATTATCCAGTCAAGCAGCCATG